AATTTTTGGAGCAACGCAAAAGGTTGGCAAGCAAATATGCAAAGTTTCCTGAATGAATATTGGTTGAGTGAATGGTTCTAGCTCTTTCATAAATAAAGTCACTTGTCGCCACCTACTGGCCTAACAATGTAACCTGTCTGTGCAAAAGTGGAGTGATATAAACAGTGAACATTCCTATAGCTGCTGGTCCAAATACCAGCTCTCAGACAATTTTGAGGGCTGGAACTAACTGTTGTATATATAAAAATATGCACACAGTGTTTTTTTGTTTTTTACCTTGCATTGAGTTCTCTCAGTAATGTTGGAACCTCCACCTCATGCTTGGTCACAATTCCAAATGAGGCCTTTACTGCCACAGAATCTGAACCACTCACATTTACTCCCACCTCATGGATCAGATGGTTGCCCAAACGCCCATTAAGGGCAACATCAGACTTGTCCTCATAGTTCAGGAGCTGATATGAGGAGACCCCTGTCAAAAATAGTGAAGGTGACACTCCTCTGATACCACTTGCAGTATGCACGTCATGCAAAAAACACCTTCACTCATAACAAAAACTACTGTATACATAAAATTAAGTGTTTTATGCATTGTGTAAGTAAAATTACACAAACACGCACATAAAATTCAACATGGATGTTTGATTGAATGTTTACATGACTTGTTCATCTATACTCATCTAGCTATTTTATATCAAATTATTAAATATTTCTAACTCACCTGCTGTGATCTCTTTCTCTCCCACAAGTATGTCTTTCAGCGAGAAAGGGGTTGTGGCATATTTGGTCTTCTTCCAGAAATGTCGTCTCCTTTTCCTCGTCACCAGACTTAGGGGTTGATATCGGTCCGCTTCACTTAGACTGGGCACAGGGACTAGGCGTCCAGTGTTCCCCACCTGCTTCACAAAGTTTTTAGTTGCAGCCGCAAACATGACTGTAGTTCACCGAAGCTTGAGCATATCGTTACTGTGTATGTTCATTCAGATTAGTTTGAATTTGAGTTAGTTCTGGCTGTGGCAACATACCTGTTCGAGGCTAAATGAGAAGCAGAGGTGCTGCTTGGGTTTGTCCAACCAGATCATCAATAATAAAGTGGCTGTAAGCTGATCAGGGTGTTCTCTGCCATATGTGTAGTGTCTTACCGAGTTCAAATAATAGGCCTGACACCATCACATCTGTTATAAGTAACTCCCTCTAAATTAGAACATACATTGTAGTTAAGTTTAAAGTGAGTATAATTATCTTGTTAATGCTTGTTCAGTATTGTTTCATTTTATTTTGTAAACAGAATATAATTAGCTTGATTGTTCTGTAATTACCTAGTTTACATTACTTGTAATGAGGTTTTTAATGTATACAGCATTGCAGATCTGATAACCTTTTTGTATAGCATGATAAGGTCAAACCAGTTTACATGAGCCATATTTGTGATATTATATGACCAACAGTTTATTTTATTGGTAACACTTTAAAATAAGGTCCCATTTGTTAACAGTAGTTAATATGAACTAACAATTAAAAATAGTATTTTTTAAAATCGTAGTTCATGTTAATTAAAATATTTACAAATGCATTATTAAAATCCAAAGTTGTATCTGTTAATATTATTTAATGGACCTAAGCTAAAATGAACTAACAACGAACAGTTGTATTTTCATGAACTAATGTTAAAAAGATTAAGTTAATGTTAAGTAATGGGACCTTTCTATAAAGTGTTACCATTTTAGTTTAGTTTAGTTTAGTTTCTTTGTGTTTAGTAATTTTTATTTTTTTAAGTTTTGTTTTAGTTTTTAGTTATTTCTTGTTATATATTGACCAGTGCTGCGTTTCTCAAAAGCATCATAAGCTAAGTTGAGAGACCATTGGTGGCAATAATTCTATGATCTACTTAGGCTTACAATGCTTTTGGGAAATGCAGCCCAGATCAACTTCAGCCAGAGAAATAATAAATTATTCAAAGTAGAATCAACATATGCAAGAGATAAATCATGTTTTACCAGAATAGCATCTGAAGAATAACAACTTCTGCTT